CTGGACAAAGCGGTGGACCTCTTGCAGGTTCATTGTCCAAGCGCCATCATCATAGCTTGCATCACCGCGCTTGCATTCCCAATATCTGTTCCATGGTCACAGGTGGCGGTGGTGGTGGGTTTATGAGGGCATCACGTCCACGACCACGGCCTCTGCCTCTTCCTCCTCTTGCGGCCATCTGTTTTCCAACAAATGTGCAAAATTTAGGAATTTTTCCAATTATAGAGAGCTTACCAAAGATAAGAAACAATGCTGAAAATTCTCTGAGCAAGATACAATTTCAGCAGTTCAGTAAAACTGTTATAACTCGAGTTTCAGAGATCCAACAGAGGTGCACCAAGATTCGTTAGAAAGCTTAGGACATCAGTTACAACTTTCATTTAGACCACTTTTACAGATTCGAACTCGCACACAGTCAAAAATAGAGCTAAACCGAGACTGTTCTGAGTTCCAGACAGCGCAGGAACATCAACTTGTGACAGCTAGATCTCCCAAATATGAACAGCTATTGACGTGATTCCAAAGACACTTGAAAGATACAGAGGTCTAGTTATCTCCACAAAAATTTCAGAATTTTTATCATCCCAGATTTCGAGTTTCCAGATAAAGAACACAGGCTGCTCCAGAAATCAGCACAGCAGAGATAAGATAAAATGATACTTCTGCATTAAGATTTCATTCTAAATTTAAAGTTCCAATCTAAAGAAGTTGTGGACATGCCCACAAACTTCCAGCAATCAAGCAAAATACCAACTCAACCAAGTTCACAAGACCAACAAGACTAAATAAGGACACGAACTAACGACATGATAATCTAGATCAAGGCACCTAACACCTATGGAGCGGTGTCAATCATGGTGAAGGAACGGCGCTTCTTCTTGTAGATGGAAGGCTGTCCCAGCTGTGCACGGTTCATCCACTTGTTTCTCAAGACGCTCTGCGCTCTCGAGATGCACGCAGCTTCTCCTTTGACCTCATCATCCACTCCACCGCATAGCGTGGACATGCTTTGCACCGTTGCCTCCAAGTGTTGGGTCATTCTCTCGGTGGAGCCAAAACCTGCCAAACACCCTCATGATCATTTCGAGGAAGGAACTCAAACGATCCTCCCTCATGGCCTCAAACGACGACCATGGTAGTGGATGTAGGCATTACATGCTGCATCCTCCATGCCATCCAAAGCATGGGCTCTCTGGCAGGGCATCCGTGGGATGGGCCTCCACCTCATGTCCATTAATGATATCATTCCATGCGGTGACCACCAGCTCTACCTTCCGTAAGGTAGCCTCCGATTGGGTGCTTGTACTCGGCGCAGATGGTAGCCGATGGAGGCGTGCAAGTCGGGAAGTAGTCGCCCAAAGACGCGGGTGAGGAGAGTGTGGTAGTAGGCTGTCTCTCGAGCTGGCTTGAAGTAGTACTTGCACTTCCAAAAATCTCCTCGTCCACCACGGAACAAATTGGGATGGTGCAGTGTAGGGGGAAGTAGCCGTCGACTCCTCGGTGTGTAGCTACCACAGGGTAGACGGCACGGCAATCTGGTGTAGGAGTAGGTGTAGACGTCGGTGTAGCCATCTCCTCGTCGTCGTCGGAGATGATCACAATCTCCTCTCTCACCGGTGGGAGCACGCAGGGGTGAACATGGCACGATAGCCGGCAGGTCTTTGAAGCGAGCGCCTTCGGATTATGAGACATCTATAGATTTAAAGTGAGATAGAAATTAGAATCAACAATTTTAAATAATAGATTAAGGTATGAAAAGCATAAATGTTTTAATAAAATAACAAGGATAAGTCAATAAGCAAGAAACCGAGGAACAAAGATGCTAAAACGACCATTTTCTAACTAGGCTTATGTCCCACAAATCCAACACGGCTCGATACCAATTTGTCACACCCAATTTTAAGGATAAAATTGAATGCACAAAACTTCGTGTGTGCCTGTGAATCAATCACACACACAAGTCGACAAATCACAATAGTATCATCACGGTGTCTCATACATCGAGTTATAATAAAACTTAGTCTTATACATCACAAATGAATAATAAAAAGATGATAAAACTCTCGTGGCCGTCTTCACAGGGGAAGGTCAACTGGTGGACCACAAGCCTAATAATCCTCCGGAAATCCTCATACCCGTTGTTATCTCATTACCCATCCGGGATTTTTATCCAAGTAAAGAAAATAAACAAGTGTAAGTACATTCCGTTACTTAGCAAGCTAACATGGGGTTATGAAGCTCAAAAGGTTAGACTACGTTAACTGCAGTTAGCATTTTTAATAGGTCAAGCTTTTATTCTCAAGTATTATCAAGTTATGCTTAAGCTCCCATTTAATTCCCATAAGAACATATATTGGAGTCATATGTACCATATATCATCACTAAACAACTTTATAAGATCATCATCAAGTATCCAGTTATTCTGTGAGTTTTCCGGGCCGCTCGTAACCGTGAGCACGGCTGTTATTATAACAGTTTTGTTACCCTCTGCAGGTGGTGCACATTCACCATGAGTCGTGATCCCCATATGCCCGGGTTAATTACTCCCATGTCACTTCCAAGGTGAGCGGGCAGGGTACACTATGAAGCCATTTCATAGGTTTCCCTAACAAGTTAGGGGCCGCTAGGTTTCCTTGGCGGTGCGGATGTAGAACCCCTTTCCTATGGCACATATCCATCATGCGCTATACACATAGGAACAGAGGCGGTCCTATACCCAACGTGGCAAGCCCCATTTATGCGCCAAAAGGTAACCTCTAACTAGCTAGAAAAGGTCCTATTATTGAGCTAAAGTCGAGCCAGCCATATGACTCTCCCGGTTGCACTGTCAGTCCCAGCTTTTGCCGACAGATAAGTCCTTATGGAGGGCCGGGAGCAACATGAACAAAGGTCATTTGCTCTTTCGCCCTATGGAACAGTTGTTATACATCATGTCACTCACTTTGTTCCATAGTATTATTCATCAACATGTATATCAAGTTCAGTTAGAGCACTAGCAATCTACCCATATGCATTTAACCCATAGGAGACAAGGAACAGGATAACAATCACTAGGATGTCCTTACGGGTATCAAAATTAGACACATGCAAATGAGTAATTGCTTAGAATGAAATAGGACATCAAGGAAGGCCCATGTTATACTTGCCTTGGTTCACAAATTCGTGCTGGTCCTCTGGTGGTCGTCAAGAGTTCTTGGTCTCCAACGCTTTCCTCACCGTCTAACGCGACCAACACGGCAACATACAACATTCCAAAAGCATTCATGCAAAGCAAACATTCCTATCATTAGAACAGTACACCAACAGTATTGAAAACAAGATAAAATGTTTGTAAAATTAACCTACGTTTCGCCACGATCACGTCAACGCGAAGTTCACGAAAAAACGGAGCTACAATGCGAAAAGTTATGATTAAAACGGGTTTTCCAAAAGCCCTATATTTAATTAATTCTAATCATGAAATTAAAAGTTCCAAACTTGACTAACAGTAGCTCCAACATGTAGCTTATGAAATTACGAAGCTAACGCGATTTGAATGGGTCAATTCGGAGTTAAAACGACAATTCTATAAGCGAAACAGTTCGAATGGCATTTCTGTAAATACTGAAAGCGTACTTTTGACTTAACAGCGAAGTTTACGCTTTCTAAACAGGTTTGCGCATTCGGAGAAATACGCTAAGGACGGCGGGTTAGGACTTAGAAAAATCCAGGGACTCTTTAGCAAATTTACCCCCGAAGGGGTATCTTCTATTTCCGGCCGTTGATCGCGCGATGGACGGTTCGGATTAGCTCTGGGGGTTTCGGTACGTGAAAGTGACTCGGCGAGGCAAGCCATGGCCGTGGCGTGGAGATCACCGGCCTGGGTAACTTGCCTCACGGGCCTCGGTTTTCGAATCCGAGAGCACCGGGAGAACGAGAGGAGCGCGGCGAACACGTCCATGCCAAGAAATCAGCCGAGGGAAGGCCGGGCGGCGGACACCATGGCCGGCGTGAGAGCATTCGGGTGAAACCGAGCGGCAGCGGGCGCTGAGAGGGGCTCGGCTCCCTATTTATCGAGGCCGAGGAGCGGAGGGGCGCCTCCCACGACGCCATCGTGGGCGGCGATTCTTCTTGCAGCCGGGCGCGGCGCCAAGCGATTCTTAAAGCCACGCTGGGAAGGAGACGGCACACGACAGGTGGGGCCCGGGCGGTAGCGATCGGCGGGGCGTGGGGCGGTTGGCGGCCGAGTGGGCAGCCAGGGGCTTCTTTGGGCCGAACGGCCGAGGCGCTGAACCGGGCACGGCAGTGAAATTTTGGTCATGATCTTTGGGCAGCAGGGAAAGAAATGGCCATGGGGCCGAAAGTCCAGGAAGAGAGGGAAAGAGGAATTTTTCCTTTTCTTTTTCCAAACAAATTTTCCAAAAGCATTTTAAATACAAATTTCAATTAGATTTTGAACTCATTTGGAATTCGAATCAAAACCATTCATCTCAAAATAAATATGCAACAGCATGTATGCATCACTTGCAGCTAACCTTATATTTGATTTTAGTTTTCACAAAATTATTTATTTCCTATATTTCAATGCTCACCAAAATTGCTTAAATAAATCAATTTGGTTATTTTTAGAAAATGCAAATTTAGGGTGTTACACATTGATATTATTTTCTTGAGGAATCCATTTGATCACCTTTACAGAGATTCTGATGTGGAGTCCATGAGTGATGGCCACAACAACATGACAGTTTATGGTTTCAACGACGTGTTTGATGAGCCTTCTATGGGTTGGGCCAGATATGCTCACACAATGCGGATTTGGGTTTACAATTCTGGGTTTTTCTATATTAGACCAACAATTCCTTCTATTGAACTTCTTGATCGTGTGGCTGGCCGCCTTTCTCACGAGCCAAGTCATGGGACCAGGCAGTTTTCAACGAGGAGCTGTTCTTCCCGTCTCATCCTGGTTATGAAGGCCTTCATGCATCCAGGAGAACCATGGATATTTATCTTTTCATGAACAGCAAAGTCCTTCAAGACAGTGAGGAAAGACGCTCAGCTCAAGAAGCTAAAGCCAGTGATTGTGCATTTGAACTACCATCCTGACAAGTTAGCGCGAATGAAAGCGGTCATCGAGTTCTATGTCAATGGCAAACAAGATGCACTGCGTCATTTCCCTGATGGGTCAGAATGAGGAAATTACAGATTTTGCCGGTAAAGAAACCTATACCCTTTGTATCCTATTCATTTTGGGGTTGTTCTGGCATTTGGATCTACTACATGTGGCCGATGTGGGATCTTCACACGTGCGAGAATGTTTGGTGAGTGCAACATGGATGCATTGACCTTGAGCTATTTGGATATCTCCTTGGTCTCTAGTCTCTACTAACCTCAACAGTTCTGTAGCAAATTTGTACAAGCTTAGATAGATGGCTGATCACATTTTTCTTTTCGGTATGATTTTTTGGGGTTCGAATGTAGGAAATCAAGGCGGTTTGTTCTGAACTAGTGATACGATTTGATGCTGGCGTTTTCTTGTGTGGTGGTTTACTTGTGAATTGAGAACCTTTTACAGTTTCAAATTTGTTAACTTTGATATTATCCACAGGATCACAGTTGAATCACTGTTGTGGACAGGATTTGAGCACGGGATTCTTTGGTCCTCCCGTGCCTGTAATGTGTTCTGGGTCTAGAGGTAGTACAGCTAGTGATGTGATCTTGGTTTGTTTGTTTCTGCCGCGTCGCTTGAACAAAAGGCAACGTGGGGAACACGTAGTCGTGTATAGATTCCCACCGTATGCCCGTTCGTCCGATGCAAACGTCGGCCTGGCGCCTCCTATATATAGCGGGCCCTGCTATCAAATTGCCTGAGGTTGGTGGGACGATAACGACCTATTCGAGACTATTCCACTCTATGTTTTTCAGCTTTAGCTTCATATTTTCTAGCTAAAGAGTGCTTCAGGAAAAAGCTTCAGCTCCATATTTTCTAGCTAAAGAGTGCTTCAAGAAAAAAAAAAGGGGAGTCTTTTAGCTAAATAGGTGTAGCTTCAAAAACTCACTCAAAAAAAGAAAGTAGAGTTGAGAGAGCATCTAATAGATGCTTCAGAAACTTGTTTTTTTAATAATAAGAAACTTGTCTTTTATGGAACTGCTTTATGATAAATTTTGTGAAGCAGAGTTAGTGAGGCAGTATTAAACAAATCTTAAATACCACTCCACTCTGTGTGTGGTGTTGAGGCCAAAACATTCTCAGGCCCTTTTCGTGTCCCCCCTCGCCAACATAATTTTATTTTCCACAAACTTTTGTTAAAGTGGCTCATATAGTTCATTTAGATATCAGATATCCAGATACAGCCTAACTAGACATTAGCATAATTCAGCCCAAGTTGAGCAAGGTTACGTCCATCTGAGATTTGGTCTCAGCTATTGTTCCACCAGTTCATAACAATTTATTTCCAATTTACAAAATTATTTAAAGTGTAGAAAGTTTTTGGTCAGTAAGTTTGCAGTGTTCACGTGAGATTTTTTTTTTGTTCCATGTGACAATTTTTTCTCTTATACAAAAATTGTTCCACATGAACAATTTTTTGGTTCCAACAGAAATTTGGCTTTAGCTGAAATGTTCCTTGGCTAATTTAGACTGACTGCCATGAAAGGTTAGTGGGGTGGTCGACAAGTCTAGAATATTGTCGTTATTAATTGGCTTTGGTGCAAATATTAGCCTCTATTTGGATGCCCTAGTTTTAGAAGAACTATGTAATATAAAAAAACTATGGTTTCATAAGCCGAAGACCTACAAACCATGGTTTAGAAAAAAAGGTTTCATGTGGATTTTTAAACTAAAAAAACTATGATTTACAAACTAAAAGGTCTATTGCATTAGAAATCCAACACATCTAGAAAACCAATTTATTTAAAAAAATATAGTATTTTTCCAATACTCCAAAAACACTTTGCATCTAAACTAAGCCTTAATTAGTTGGGAAAATATTTAGTGCAAACTACATCTTCGGTGCAATTGTGAATTTTTTTTTGAAAAACATAACTATAAGTTTTCAAAAAAATTGAAACTATTCACATCCATAGTGTATCTGTTGGTGAACATTGGCATACAAATTGAGATCCAAACTCCATTTAGAAAAATGCATACGAAGGATTTTTATCTTTTAGTGCATATGCACTTGAAATTTGTTATTTTCGTATGAATGTTTAAAAATGAGTTTGGATCTCAAAATTTTGTGGCAATGTTCATCAACAGATGCACTATGGATGTGCAGAGTTTCAAACTTTTTGAAAACTTTTAATTATGTTTTTCAATTGGGTTTTTGTGATTGCACCAAGGATGTGGTTTTCATTGAATATTTTACCTAGTTAATCAAGGGATTTGTTTTTTTCTTATATAAATAAAAAAAAGAAGAAGACAAGGGTGGTCAATAGCGGATAAGAAGCTCGCTTGTGGAAACTCATCAATGTCCTTGTGCGGCCCGTGAAGATGTTGTAGTTCCAACCTCGTTTAGATTGGGATGTACAAAAGGATATGGTGCAACGAAATAATCTCATTTACTACTCTTTCGTTACATGAATCACCTTGTCCCACATGTCCTGTAAGATAGTGTTTGGTTCATAGTCTTCCTAGAGAAGTATATTTTCTCTAGATGCTAGACAACACTGTCCCCCAAAAACAGAGGTACCAACCCATCCCACTTTGCACGTGCGCGAGTGTTCATCTGTGCTTCCCTCTTCTCTATGTCAAATCATGAGTTAGAACCCACGGGGGCAGTGGAAGCATAGTGGTGGGTGAGGCAAGCGAGGGCGAGGGGTGGGGGTTAGTGGCGAAGGCGAACACATCGGCCAACTGGGGATGAGTGTAGTGGGTAGATATACGAGCGAAGGGACGCAAGCGGGTGAGCAGCCAGTAAGGGGGCAAGCTTCTTCGACAGACCTCAATCTCAGCAAAAGGAGCCCCTGTGATCCGTGCACAGGGGGCAATGGAAGGAGATAAGGCATAGAGATAAGAGACAAGCCTATGGATGGCATGTGGGGCCTAAATATAACTATTTTGCTAGTGATGTGATAAACAGAAATTAGAGACAACCCGTGCCTCCAACTAAACTTCAAAATGGGACTATTCTATCCCCTGGTTTCCAAACCAAATACAATGTCTACCTCCTACTTTCTTACTCCCCTCTCTCATTGATACTTTAAAAGGTTCCCCTCCAAGTCTAGCGGACATCAAACCCAAGTTCATCAGGAAGCTTGGCATGTTATTTGGGTTGGGGTCTATGCGATCATCATTAGAAATACTCAAATAGTACACTGAGAGAAGACATTAAATCATGGGTGACATTATTATGATCTTGGATGGCACAAAGGATACATTCTAGTTGTTTGGCAATGAACTACGAACAACATGAGCAACAAATTATGGTCTTTGAGTGACACATACATATTTGAAACGTGATAGCATCACCCCTAATCTCCCTTGACTCCACAAACTGTATTTTCAAGTCATGGACTTTGGCGGACATGTTTCACAAGTGTTGAGCAATATGCTGACACCCATTATCTATGCCATATTGAAGGTCCAAGATGACCGGAGGGGAGACATGACTTAAAATCCACATTTCGACGAAGCTTGGAAGGTTCAAAAGGACATAAGGCATTGAATCAAGAGGAAATCACCCCATGAGAAGCTAAGATAGATTGAAGGTAACGAAAGCCTTCTTACAAGCAGGGGACAAAAAGATTTTGAATGCCTTCGGCCACGAATTAGAAAGGAGAGAAGTGTCACATCAAGCGAAGCCATAGTTTAAGGAAGGTCTACGACAAAGATCACAACATACTACTAAGGGATGGAGGAGGTGGAGATAAGAGGAGTACCACTTCGGGCCTGTTTGAAATGCGGGAAATATTTCCCGTTCCTGCATTTTTTCTGTAAAATTGAACTGATTCCTGTGAAATTCCTGCGGAATTCCTACGTTCCAAACATGCCCTTCTTGGATATCCTCGTATGTCTTGTAGGAAAAGATAGTAAAGAACATATGATAGGTGAGGAGTTCCTTAACTATAAATATTCAAGACTTTGGGTGTAACTCAACTAATTTTCACCTAAATGAAATATTTGTGCCACTGTGTGGTGTTCTTCCATCCGAAAACTCTTTGGAGTCTCTTTCGGTTCTAGGCCAACTACTTTGGCCCTTCACGTCCATAAAAAATAAAACTTATTAGGAATAGAGATTTGGATAAAAAGTTACCCTCCAATAACTTTTCTAAATGATTATCTAAATATAACCATCTTCTATTTCGGATTTTTCGTTAGCCAAAAATAAAAAATGAAAATAGCTTTTTAGACTGGGTATGAGATATAGAAAAACTATGGCAGAGAGGCTCGACCAAACAGTTACATGTTCGACTCGTGGACTTGAGTCACTGGTTTTGAACACGAGCAGCGAGTAGCAGACTCCAAACTGAACCCGGTTGCGGACCATTTGCGGAGACCAGGTCAGGTGTCAGTACTTTGGGAGTTTGGGGCCTTGGTAAAGCCGCGGCAGGCCACGAGCAAAAAAATAGACGCTTGACGGAAAAATCCTTTTCCTTTTATACGAACCGAAAGGTAAAATAAATTGCGACAAAAAAGAAAAAGAAAAAAGAAACCCAACGACAGCAGCGGCACATCGGAAGGAAGAGAAAAGAAAAAAGATGCGGAGAAACCACGCGAACCAGAAACTGGCGCGGCCGATAAGGCACCACGTCCACGTGCGTGGCTCGGCCCTTCCGCCCGTCGCTCTCGTCCTCCCTCCCTGTGTCGCCGCGCGCGGAAGGCACAGGACCACTCGCCGATTCCTATTCCCCTCGCTCCCTCCCTTCCCTTCCCTTCCCTTCCTCGCCTGTCTCTCCAGAAGAAAAAACAATCCCAATCCCTCTCCGAAATCTACCGATCCTCGGCCGCGCCGGGGCCCTAGGCGCCACCGCCGTCGCGCCCCCGCCGCGGCCGGCCACAGGACCACTCGCCGTCACCCTTCGGCGCCGCCGCTGGTGCCCAGGTAAGGGGTTCGTCGCGCCTCTTGTTTTCTGCCGCCTCACGTACGCAACTCTTGTTTCAGCAGTTTTGGTCGGGTAATGAGCTGTTTAGATTTCACCTTGCGATTCACGCTGATATTGAGCTTAGCGCGCGTAATCATAACCCAATCAGTTATGTAGGATGCCTTGATGTTTCCCCTCACCCTTATGGACCTGCGTTCGTAGTTTGTTCCGTCGGAAGACATTGGTGGGGTCTGAGTATTATCCAGCTTGAACCAGTGAATTTTCCCTACGTTATCTATGTTGGCCCATAAGATTTGGTAGGGGATCCATTCCTATTTCCCTTCCTATTTCTGGTTCACTGGCTGGGATGCCTCAGGGGAAAATGTAGAGAGAAGATTATAACACTCTAACATCCATCGGGAGGCAAGTTCATTCACCTACCCAGCAGTTCTGGTATTTGAACATGGCTATAAAATCATAAAATGTTGATTGTGATCGAGCAATATGGTTTCAGATCAAATGATAATGCATTGGCTAGGTAGCCAAAGTTTTTCTGTTCAGCTTGTTGGTCAAATATTCAGCAAGGATCTGTAGGAATGACCTGAAGCAAACTAAATATCGGCTAAATAGCTAGTGCAGAGTTTACAATTTTTTTGGCAGGCTAAATGAGTTTCATAGAAGCAAACATACACGCATCACTTATTTATTTCGCCCCCATATTGACATAGCATTAATGTTTTTTTTTTACCTTTAGAATTATCATAGTTGATGAACTTAGGGTCCCATTTTCAAATAGCCAAGACTACTTATTGCTACTGAAATGAAACGATCATAGCGATATTAACTGCAGCTTCTATCTTTGCAAAATGATTGTAGTTTAGTGAGTACACTTAGTCTTTTAACAGTTTTGAGACGCACTTAGTTTCTCATCTGCCCTCCACCATAGCCTTTGTGGCGCTGATGCTCCATCTCTGCAAGAGGAATGAAATACTTTATACTTTGAATAAGATCATGTAATGGATAATTTGACAGCTCAAAAAATCACCTGTTCTAACTTCTAACCGTGTTTGTATTTCAGGGGTGTAAGCTAGCCATATTACACATCAGTGACTGATGAAAGACTGTGTCCAGTGGATGGGAATTTCATTCAGTTTGAGTTTTGCTTGAGATGGCAGTTGGATTGACATCTCAGCTGTTCCAAAGAGTAACTGCTACTGACATATTTTGCCAAAGGAACAAATTTAGGGTACACATTCCTCCTTGCTTTTCTTGTACTAATACATAGTCCTTTTTGATATTATTTTGGGATTCTCTCTGTTTTTTTTCAGAGTCCTGAGATGAGGAGTTGTCTTCCCTTGCCATCCACCTCGTTTCCTTCAGTTGCTGATGTATGGCCCATTCTTTTTAATTGCTAAGCTAACAGCACAGTACATTCATTTGTGACCAATTTTTGAAAGAGGATAATGACTAGTATGCCTCTTTTATCATGCAGAAGACATCAAAGATTTTTTGTGTATCAGTTTTTTCACTTTTCTTTTGTTTTCGAAATTTTAAATATGGTCAGTACAACCAATTTAGCTGGAGCACATGGTTTCTTCCAAGTTTGTGGATGTGTGGCAGAAAGAATTAAGTAACCACTGTTAATCTGTTTCTACATGAGAGAAACAGACAACTCTCCATGTAGATATCGTTTTTAACCTATTTTTGTTTTGCAAAATTTTCTTATCTATGTTAGACCTACTCCAAAAGAATGAGGTATTTGAGTGTAGTTGGTTCGAGTTATGTAGATCACACAGCCACGCACCATACCACAAGGCATTAGCAATACTCACTAGTCACTAGGAAATACATATAAACAATATGGTGCTGCATTTGATTGTAAAGGTGTTTTGTGACCTAAAGTTTATCTGCACCCCTTATGATCAATCATTACATTCATATTTTTTGTTAGTTTCAGAATGAGAACTAATTGATGTTGATAACTGTAATGTATTTTACCAGTGCCTGCATCCAGTGCCTATGCGTAAAAGCAACAGTGTTCTTTATTAAATCATACTCTCCTATATGCACTTTTGGGAGTTGGAGTGAAAATCTGTCAAGCTTATGAAAATGACATCTGTAGTTCCATTGCTAAAATTACTTTACAACATTTTTGTTTATAGTTTTTTATCAACATTTTGGCATGAATACTATTTTCAAATGTGTGCTTTTTTCCAACCATAAAACTTACCTTTTTAGGTATCAAAGAACTATTTATGTAGAACTGAATACTTGTCATACTTCATCCCTCACAATCTAATGTGTAATTACAGCCTCCTCTTGTTTTCATCCTAACTTGAGTCTTACATTTGTTCCAAGATAACAGCTCTGTGATACTATCGTTGTATGACACTATAGTTCTTCTTTTTTCTTTCTAAATTTGTGCCAGTACAATAGTAAAAAACAGTGTTACTTAGACATGACTACGCGTGTTGGTGTCTGATTCTGGTGTGGGCCTGACTTGGCAATTTTTTTTTTTGCCATACAAAATACCACTTGGAATTCACCATGTCTGGCTGGGAAACCCTTTTTAGGACTCTGGTGTCCAAGTTGTACAGGTTAAAAGGTACACTGGTTTTGCCTCCTAATTGTAGATCTTACAGAGTAACTCTGGTTTTCTTTGCAGAGGCGATACTGTTGGGATCACAATGTGTTAGAGAGTAGCTACAGGCCCATGCTTTATGCACCTCGCAGATATAGATCTTTGGGCTTTAGATCTTGTGCCTTGCTAGTTCCTTTGAAGGAAATTCCTCTTGTCAAGAACGCATCATTAGCACTAACTAGGTACTTCCCTTGTACAATTCTTTATTTATGAACTTTCTGATTATACACAGACTTGGTAATGAGCAAACAGCGAAACAGTAGTTTGGATCAGATCCTACCATTGTCGTGTTGCACTCGGTTAATCAGGACATTGGAGAAAGTCATCTACTCTATAGTACGCAGTACCACTGGTTGGTGTATCCATAAGTGGTGGCACAGAAATCATACATTCCGTAGGGTGATTACCTATACCTCTTGTTGTGAGTGTTGAGGTTTTCACTCATCAGTAACCTGTTGAAGTTAGATAATAAAGTAACCAACTATGGCAATAAATTTTATGTTTTGGCATATGATGCAACATTTATATCTTGGCAGTGTGTTATCTTTTAAATGTTTTGATTACTAAAGTAACATATGGATTATACTAACACTCTACCCGCTTGTTAGATAATATAGGTTGTTAGCTAACATAATGGAGCTTGAATTTTGAGCCTAATCATGCTCTTGTGTTGGCTACACTTTTTGGGCAGTTTTAATTATCTCTTTTTTGTTCCTGACCTAAGTCTTTCTTAAGGTCATTACTATGACTATGCAAATTCATTAGGTTCATACTTGAATTCTCTTTAATTTTAGTAGGGAGATGCAAATATGTGCATGGAAACAGTACCATTGTTCGCGTAGTGCACTATTAAATAATCTAAAAAATAGAGATGTGAAACATGTTTGATTTTATTTACTTGGAAAACTGTCCATTTATATATATTACATCTGAATGTACTTCATATCATTTTTAGTAATTGCTTTTTTTGCGTTGACAGGTCATGTGATACTTTACTTGCAAATCCTGCTACCTCACTTGTGGTCCCTGCAATCGGGATTATTGTGTTTGCTCTGTGGGGTTTTTTGCCTCTAGTGCGGGATATTAGAAACCGTTTTGATGTATGTGTTCTGCTACATGTAACCATATTGTATTATTTTTCATTTATTTTTGATTTACATGATCATATACTAGGCTAGCTTTTTCTTGAGGGCATATACTACGCTAGTTAAAATAGTTCATAATGGACCTTTACAGCATGGAGGCAACTGGAAGAAGAGCCCTACATATTTGATTTCTTCGTCGTACCTTCAACCTCTACTTCTCTGGACAGGAGCAACACTAATCTGCAGGTATAGCTCCACCATATTATAATGATCCTTTCTGAAGTGGCAACTCTAGCCACTTGATATCATCGCTGCAATGCTGTGACCCTGTTTGTAATATTGAAATTATTCCTGTTTCCACTGGAATTGTACTGCAGATAGTCAGTGTTCATCTGACTGCTAAACGCTAAACAGTCTGTGACCCATCGTTTAGCCAACTATCAGACAGCTAAGAAAATTATGCACACAGCTCCTACAAGATTCATGTGTTTGAAATGGAAATGGGCTATAAACATTTTCCTTAGTTTTTGTTTTCTTTTATTTATCTTTCTCTTTGTCCATGCAATGTCTTGCAGGGGTTTGGATCCAGTTGTCTTGCCTTCAGCAGCAAGCCAAGCTGTGAAAACACGCCTGATAACTTTTGTGAGATCATTATCAACTGTCCTGGCTGTTTCATATATTCTCACAAGGTGCACATGCTACATCCTCAGAAAAACTTCAGTTGTTTTTTACAAGTTGTAGCTTTGATTCGATCATGCCCATTTAAGTTATGTATAGGTAATGGCACCGTTTATGCAGTCAAGTACTCAAGATAACTGTAACTGCAAAAGCACATGTTGGAGATTACAATTTACAATTTTGGCCATGGACGATTCTTTTCTCCCCAACTTTAGTTTTGTCTATCATCTTCAAGTACAAATGGTTTGCTGGCTACATAGCATGAATGGCGTTGCATGATTCTGGTACAACTAGATAAACTAATTACCTATCGGCGATAGAACTATTTACTTAAAAGATGTGGCCAGCGATGGAATATATCAAAAAATATAAAAGACCTCGGGAGGCGGGGGGGAAAGACAGCCCCAGACATTGCATTAAGAAGACCTTCTCAGGTTGGTCGAGAAAACCCCTGTCCCACCCATACACAGTGGCACCGTAGCCCATGTGAGAACGACCAGGGCTGGGCCTTAGACCTGTGCTTTGGCGTGGGAGACGAGGGGATTTTTAATACCTAGCCTTAAATTCGCTCCCACGAGGAGTTGAACCCAGGACCTGAGGAGTGCTACTCAAGCCACCTAACCAACTCAGCTAGAGGCCACTTATCAAAAAAAAAAAAAAACTCAGCTACAGGCCCTTTCGCATATATCAAAAAATATAGTTGGTGAGATTGTGAGAATAAACGAAGATTAGCTTCAGTTTGTGCTATACAAATAGATGAGGAATGTATTGGAACTTTTTTGTACTTACATGTGGGGAATGCTAGAACTTATAACTTTATAAGCATACAAAAGGTATTCAGAAATGAAATTTACTGATGTGCTGGTATATGTGAGTGCCATTCTGCGCTAACATTATCAATCGTGTTGTGATCTGTGTTAAAATAATTTTGACATTGTTTGTCAAGGAATCAAGGATGTGATATTTGTGGAATTATTTTCTTTGCTTTATTGAACATATCCAGATGAAATCAAATAACTAACATATTAGTTAAGTTACAATGGTGTTTCATGTATTGCAATGGGAAGATGTGCAGATCCGTGTTAGTCCTTGCTGCCTTGATTTGTATGAAATTTAAGGTGTCTATATCTATGTTATCATCTTGTATGATTGATTTGGTTTCATTGTGTTTTGTTTTATTCAGTTCTGTTAACGCTAAGATTGTTTTTCTTCTTTTTAGCTTGATTCAGCAGGTACAGAAGTTTCTTATGGACATGCGCAATCCCAATGATGCAAGAAACGTAAGATCCTTATATCGTTACAAGTAAAATCTTGTTATCTACCAAAGTTCTTTGTTACCCTTTTTCCATCTGCTATTTGTTTCTCTTTATTCACAAAGGTCCTCCCTCCCCCTTTGTAAGACACACAAAAACATAGGAATATGTTTCACTGAGTGTAGAATGTAGAACTCTTTAAGGATCTTCTTGAGTCCTATCTCTTGATCTCTAAATAAGGGTTCAGGAGGTGCCAGAACCAGCATAATTACTTATAATACTTCACTGAGGCCACCCTCATCTAAATTCCATCAGCAGGAATCTTCTTCCCCGATGATTGGTTTACTGCCTCAACTTTGAGTGCCTTATGACTTTATGAGGTTTAGGTCATTACCAGGAACCAATAAGAAAGACAACAGCGCCCATGTTAGGCTCACTGCCTTTTGCAAAGAGAGCAAAGAGAATGAGCAAGATGTTATAATTAGAAGTTAGAGCATCTCCAAGAGTACCCAATAATTTGTTCTAAAAAACATGGTGTTTTCTAACTCCCAAAGAAGTATTGGGAGGAATAAATAAGACCATCTCCAACAGTTTGCAATAATTCACTCCTAAAATATAGAAGACAATTTTACATCAGGAATCCTATACTATTTCTAAATTATCCCAACCACTTTTATATATTCTCTCTTGTTCATTTGCATCAGGAATCCTTTCCTACTCTTTATTCTTTTTCACGCCCTTCCACCTTTAGATTGGGAGACCGATACGTGCGTGGTAGACGCGCGGATCTTTGCTCGCGTTGGGTGATTTTTTCCAAGTGCCAAAAGATTGGGAGGTGGTATTGGGAACTCTTGGAGATGGGTTTTTTCTATTCTTGCCAAAAATCCTAGATTAGGAGGCTTTATTGGGAACTCTTGGAGATGCTCTTATAAGAAGTGAACATTTGGGAAGAAACAGCATGCAACACAAGATCCTAAGTACAAAGCTACTTTTTATGTACACATAAGGTATTAAAAAAATTAAGATGCAGCTTAAACAAACCAACAAGCTTAGCCATTAGAGTGAAGGCCGCCATCAAGATCATATGGCCAGCTGCTAAGCACCACCAACGTGCGCCAGCAGGTTACTTTTTGATCTGTGAGGAGCTAGAGAAGGGGAGGCGAAAGTTCCATGTGGATGCCACATCAACATTCATTATTCAATATATTTATTAGTTGCCACCTCAAGTTATCTGGACATCATCTGACAATCTTAGTCAATAGTGATCATGAGAAAGGCTGCCGTGCAAGTCCAGGATCTGTTAGTTTGATTTTTAAACGAGGTAGATAGTTGGAATCATGCTAGTTTACGAACCTACGGTGCAATTTTCTCGTGGTGATATGAGGGCCCTTCCAATGCACAGATTTTCTTGGAGAAGAGAGAATATTGAAAGCAATGGAATTGCACGGGAAAACAGTAGATTGATTATAGGACCATGGGGTACATGTACATATATAAGCAAGGATGATCTAGGGGTGGTTTATGGAAGTATGACCACTGTCGGATATCCTTGATTATTATGACAGCAATCAATCTATAGAATCTGTAACAGGCTCAAGGCCCATACCCCTACAGCAGGACCAGCCAACAAGGCCAAGCCTAGGGTATCTGTCTAGCATCTGTCTAAAAAATATATTTAATGTATGTTTAGAATAACTCTTCCAATGTATAGTGTCTAAATGCCCTAAATCGACACTACCTTCCTCCAGTGTAGTATTTTGTTGTTTCTACTCTTCTGGATTTTGCAGCTAGAACCTAAAAGTTTCATGGATTTATCCTAGATTTAGTGCAGTTGGCACTGTTTGTTTGGGACTGAAATATATATTGGATGTGAGTACATTGAGGAAGTTATTGGCCCACTCTTTTCTTCAGTTTTTAATATGGAATTAGAGACTGAAACTTTTGCTGAATGATTGGTTTATTGGAAGCACATAATTTGATGCCCAACAGTTACTTGGCAGCAGCCCTAAATTCTCTGTTTGCTATACTTCTGAGGGCCCATTTGTTACTTAACCTTACCAAGTCTAGAAATAAGTAATGAAGTCAAGATATTGTTCTGATATTTGAATCACATAGAATAATATTAGTACATTTTTTCCTTCAAACTGCAGTATTACTTATGTAAGTTTGTTTCTGGCAGATGGGATTTGATTTTACCATGAAAGCTCTTTATACTGGTGTTTGGATTGCTGCTTTTTCTCTCTTTATGGAGTTGCTGGGTTTCAATACCCAAAAGTGGATAACTGCTGGAGGGTTTGGGACAGTGTTGCTTACACTTGCTGGTCGTGAGGTACTACAAAACATGTGGCTGGTATGATTAATTTGTGCTGTGGTGCTAATATCTATCATAATTTGTTGCAGATTTTCACTAACTTCCTCTCGAGTATCATGATCAATGCTACACGCCCATTTGTAGTCAATGAATGGATCGATGCAAAGATAGATGGTGTTGATGTCTCTGGCATTGTTGAGGTATGCCTTGATTTAACTTTGGGCTAAAACTACACCATCTAGTTATGATATTATTTGTAACATGCTTTAAGGTTTTATTTGTATGTACTATCAGTTTTTCCCATGGAAGATTTGGTCAATACTTTGAATCATTTCTCTAACTTGAAGTTATTTGATTTGATTTTCAGCATGTTGGTTTGTGGTCTCCAACAATCATTAGAGGTGTTGATCGAGAAGCAATATACATTCCTAACCATAAGTTTACAGTTTCTATATTAAGGAATAACACTCAGAGGACCCATTGGCGTATTAAGACCTATCTTGCTATTAGCCACATGGATGCCGGAAAAATTGGGGTAAGTACCACAAGGAATTACTTAACATAATCCCCTTCTCTTATCTGTTCGATTTTTTTCCAGTGTATTAAAACTCATCTTAGCCATACATCTTTGTTTTTCTTTGGCAGACTATAGTTGCTGACATGAGGAAAGTGTTGGCAAAAAATCTGCATATAGAACAACAAAAGCTGCACAGGAGAGTATTCTTTGAGAAAATTGATCCAAAAAATCAAGCACTTATGGTAATTCCTTACATCGAGTAATTCCATCTTTTAGTTGAAGTATTATTGCACAATCAGTCCTCGCTAAGAACTATGTGATCAGCATTGGTACATCTTTTTAGTATTGAGTTGCATGCACCAACCTGTTCAACCCAAAGTCTTAAGCTGATGGGGTGAGGTGGACAATTCACTTATACTCCAACACTCCCCCCTCATGTGGAGGCTCCCGCAGGTCTCACACGTGGAATAGGAGCGAGCAACAATTATTTTATTTACTTGCGCTAACCAAGATTTGAATTCGAGACCTTTAGTTTTGATACCATATTGAGTTGCATGCACAGGCGAGGGTAAGGCTTGCCACTGACACCCTTACCCAGACCCCGCAAAGAGCGGGAGCTCTCTGCACTGGGTACGCCCTTTATTGAGTTGCATGCACCAACCAGTTCAACTCAAAAGCTTAAGCTGATGCAATTCACTTATACTCCAACACTTAGGCATAGCCTTATTAAGCTGTCTGGCAAAGACCTCCCCTATATTATTACCATTGGCCTTTTCACCGATGTTTAATGTAAATTTAGTCTTTTTTACGTTTATGTTACCTAATAAAACCTACCTTAGCTAGTTAACTATGCAAAATATCTGGTTCTTCGGAACCATTTCATTGTGTTTTAGTCTGAGAACTTGTGCTGGATGGGATGCTAGTTTCTAGATGGCTGTAGCCTATAGGTATCTGGTCTTGAATTGGCGTCGGTTGCTAACTTTCAGGCAGCTACCAAGTTGGTTTCGAATTATCCATAACCACATGAATACATGGATCATATGTTGGCCTTATTTTCTTAAGGTCCTGTTTGGATGCTTGTTTATTTTTCACACCCAGAATCAGCTTCCAGTTATAATATTCTGTGCACAAGATACAACCGGAATTTTTTGACTTGTAGAATGTCATTTGGGTAAATGCTGTTAGGAAGCACCTGGATTGAACTTAATGATGCCCAGATAAGCTCTCTGCCACCTAGCTCAAGATCCTCTCAGCCACAGGCTTCACATCCTTGCCATCAGAATCGAGCTTGCTGCCACCAAGCTAAATGAGCTAAATGCCACGCAGAACGAGCTTGAGCTCCAGTGCAGTTGTTGATTGAGGCCCTGGCAATATGAATTGAGGCCGAGGTCATGCCATGGTATCATGTTCTGCAACTACTACAAAATAATCAGTACCAAGGGAGGGTAGGTAGGTAGGTTAGCATAGCATAGCTAGTATAACTGACGGGAGCAACCACACTGAGACTCTGAAGCGAACAATCTTCAGTCCTTTGCATCAGCTCTTCCTTTTGTGCCCGAGTTGATACCCAAATCATACAGAGACTTGACTGCAGATGCAACAAGCGATTAAAGCATAAAATTGAACTTGGAGTCGAGAGAAATTTTAGATTGGAGCTCTCAAGATGGATCCCCAAATCATCCAAGATCTTGATTGCAAATGCAACAAACAATTAAGCCATTAAATTGAACTTGGGACTAAAGAAATTTTGTATCAGAGCTGTCAAGAGGGATCCAGATCTTGATTACAGGCACAACAAACGATTAAAGCATCAAACTGGACTTGGAACTAAATAATTCAGATTGGAGCTCTTAAGGTGCAGATTGTTTGGGACGATTGGCGAGCGCTTCAGGGTGCCCAATGGCCAATGCAAGTCGCTTCACCAGCGTGATGCCCTTTGTGTGTGGAGGCAGCGCAGGTGGAGGCTGAGATGACAACATGCCGCGGATTGAGGCTTCAACAGTGATGGCGGTGATTGGGAATTTGATCGATTGGCTAGCCGTCGCCTCCAGCGTGCATGGATGAGGGAATGAGCGGCGCTCCTGATAGTTGTCGTTTTAATTTCCTAACCTCCAGAGACTATTATTTTTTACAACAGTATAGGCCAAATTTCAGTGTGCTAACCATTCATCTAAACAAATTTTCAGGCTCACAAGTTAAAAAAACAGGGAATGTAATTTACTGGTGTTTAGCTCTAAAACCTGTCATCCAAACAGCCCCTAAGGATTGTTTAGACGAGGGGGATTCTCTAGGAATAACTGGTGTTTAGTGCATGTTAAAATTTAATCCCAAGGATTTGGATCCAAATCAAGCAGCTCCTTGCATTTTCAGAGAATATTTTGATTTGTCAAAATCTCAGAATGAAATCCTTATGTTTTGATGTTTAAGTTGTTTCCTAGTCCAAATAGGTCCTTAGCTTTTTCATAGAATATTTTGCATTCTCAGTCTCAGCATGAAATCCAGTCTGTGCTGTTCTGATATTTAAGTTGGCCTGCTTTATGAAATGCTGGCAGTAAAACCACCAACCTATTGGTTATTTTTTGGTTTTCTTTTGTTAACCATTAAATTGTTCCTCTTTCTAAAAAAGGCAGCGCCTCGCCTAGCACCTAGTATTCTGTCTAGGCCTTTTCCACGTAGATGTGTTTTGGGCTTGATGTATGCATGAAAATGGGGCAAATAGAGATGGAAGAGTTTTTTTTTCTCAAACACGCAGGAGAGCTGTGTATCGTTATGTTAAGAAGAAAAAAGTTTATAAAGAAACCCTTACAACACATACCCACACACTCCTAAGGAGCAAACAAACAAACAACAACAAAGCCTTTAAGTCCCAAACAAGTTGGGGTAGGCTAGAGTTGAAACCCATCAGAAGCAATCAAGGTTCAGGCACGTGAATAGCTGTCTTCCAAGCACTCCTATCTAAAGCTAAGTCTTTGGGTATATTCTATCCTTTCAAGTCTCCTTTTATTGCCTCTACCCAAGTCAACTTCGGTATTCCACACACTCCTAAGGAGCGATGTGTGAAATACCTCTACTTGGAAAAGAAGATGAACTATGGTGATATTAATCATAGATACTGACAACACCATTTTTTTTTGTTTTGGTACGCTAAATTTCCTTTATTTAGCATGGAATGAATCTGACTGTCCATAAAATGTATAAACGCTTAGCAATTCCTGGGTGCTAGGCAGATCCCAACCGCCTGCCTAGGGCCTAGCACTTTTTGAAACACTGAGCTGTGCACTCGTTTGCATTCGACTGGTGTCAATATCCTGCTTTCATGCATATTTATCTATTTGTATACATTTTTGGGATACAAGACTATCTTCCCTTCTATTGCTTTTGAGTTTCATATTGGCCACCAATTGAGTTCATTCCTTTTTTTGTGTGTTTCTTGTAGATTTTAGTATCCTGCTTTGTGAAGACATCACATTTTGAGGAGTATCTCAATGTCCAGGTAATATGCCTTTCCATTGTTTGATATTTGTCTTGCAAGAAAGCCTAGGAACATGTTATGTTGGCATTCGCCTATGGTGTCTGCTGAAAATATATGGTCTGTCACTCTGGACCCTTATTTTCTAGCTTGTGGTGTTCAAATAAATTACTCAGGTCAGTAGGAATGCTTATAGAGTAAAGCATTTTGACAGTTTCACCCATTGAATGTCACTATGTTGAAACTTTCAGAACTATGAGTATTTTAGTTTAGATTTTACGGTTTCCTTCCATTCTGGTGTTAGTGTTCTGAGCAGTTGCCAAGATGACTGAAAAAAAAGCAAATTAAATCTTAGCCATTCAACCGTACATCATTCCTTTCAAAGAAAAGAAAATTTTAAATAAATGGGCATAGAACTGCATGACTACTTTAGCATGTCCTATAAACTCCTAATGTTTGAATCTTGGGCCCAGTACATGTGGTTTTACTTGAACTCTGCCATTGAACCTTGATTATAACAAGGGTTTCTGAACTAATCTGGTTGCTTTTGACCTGTTGTGCATCAATATTTTGGACTTCCTTACATGGGAAAACTATTCAAATTTTCATTGGAGAAGCTTAGGATGCCATTTTGGCATGACATCCATTTGAATCGAAGAATTTCAGCTTGATTTTAGGCTGCATTTTGTATAAACTAGGAGGCATCACACCATGCTAAAAAAACGATACTAAAAAATAATTAACATGGGTTTTCTGTGTTCCAAATTACACAGGAAGCTGTTATGTTGGATCTTCTTAGAATAGTTGGGCATCACAAAGCAAGGCTTGCTACCCAAATTCGAACAGTTCAGAAATCATATGGCAATGCAGACTTTGATAACATTCCTTTTGGAGAGGACATGTATAGTCGCGTCCGTGGCCGTCCACTTCTGATTGATACATCTGCAAGGATCAGTGATGACAAACCCAAGCCTCGACCTGTATCATCACGTGAGGAGCAGAAAGTCAAGACAAATGGCTCGGTAGAGACCAAGTCCGCTTCACCTGAAAATGCTAGTTTAAGCAACTCTGAAAAGCAGGAACAGAAAAAAGTGGTACCTGAAGATGCTCGGGTGAAGAACATTAAGAGTGATAATGTGATGCCAGTAACACCGTCTTTAGATCCTGCTACGTCAACTTCTAAGGCTGGTAAAGGGAAGACGCGTGAACCAGAGCCCACTGAGCGGCAAGGCGATGGGTCAGTCTCTGTGGCTAATCCAAAGAAAGAATCTAGACCAGTTTTTGAAGATAACATTGTTCTGGGCGTGGCCCTTGAGGGCTCCAAGAGGACACTGCCTATTGAAGAAGGAAATCCTTATCTATCACTATCTGAGACTGAACTGGACACGGAAGAGGCGGCTTCATCACCAAAGGATAAGATAGGTCAAAGCCCAAAACTTTGAGGTCAAGAAAAAAGCCGTTCAGAGGAATCTCGATAGGTCATCCGAGTTCAAAGTGTAATCCTTGTGAAGATTTGTCACCAAGCCTACCTTTTTTGTGCGCTTGTGCAAATGCAATCTACCACACCAGTGTTCTACGTTTAAGGTGTAAATTGCCAGGGAACATTACCTGTTGAAATATATCAGTCGTATTGCTATAGGCTTGTAAAGAAGCAAGTGCTTGAACAAGCATTTTGTACAGATTCTGCTATTGCTGATTTAACTGGCTTCTTGCATATGCATCGGCAATTCAGCATGTGCGTTTGTAACTGTCGTCTCCGTTTCCAGGTTTGGGGACCAAAATCGAATACCGCGCGGCGGTAAAGTACCTATCGCTGCGATGAGAATAGCATCGCTAAAAATGACGCAAAAGCGCTTATAGCTGAAGTAGCGGAGGAAAGCGAGGTTGCATAGCACTGGTCTGTTCCAACTTCCGACCGCTATAACGGTGTTATAACATCGTTATAGTACACTATTTTTAAAAAAGTTGGAGCATATGAATTTCAGAAATTCTAATTTGACTTTACCTCTGCCAATTGGCTGCCGGCAAACGACGATCACAAATAGCCCCCGGCACTCAGGCTCCACAGCGTGGCCAAAGACGTACATCGCTGGTGGCGCGCACATCAAGACGAGGGGGAGGGTTGAGTTGAGGTGCCTACGTGTGTTTGGTGTTTAAACATTTTTGGCATGGAATTTAGAGGTTTTTGAATTTCGTATAAATGTTTTTCAATTTTTTTGTTAAATATTAAATCGAATGTGCTCTAGTCAATTTGAAAGGTTTCCGTAATAAATTGAAAGTTTGGCGAAGAAAGTTTAAGGTAGGTTGGAGGTTTAGGGCCGGACTGGAGTGGCGCTGCAGTGCAGGAGTACAACATTATCGAAGCGCATTTGCTCTCTGGCCTCTGGCTACCTCACCGGGAAGAAGCCTGCCGCTGCTCCGCCGTTTAATTCCGCCATTTGACATGACATCGATGCGCATCGCTGCTCCAAGGACATATAGAGCGTGTTCGGCTGGGATGAAGTACTGTTCATGATGGTACGGATTTACTGTTCACGCTGGTATTTTGTGAGAGGAAAATATTATTTCGACTGAAAAAAAGTGATCCAGCCAGCCCATCTTTGCCAGCCGAACACAGCCATATTCTCTTTTGGATGGTATGGTATTATCCTCATTAATTGACTTAGGCATCTAGTCCCCAATTTTATACAATTTGGCTCTTTTTTTTAAAGAAAATTTACGTTTAGCCCGTTGGGAGACGTAAACTCATCTTTGGACCCTGGGGGTCGGCGCCAGGACTCATGGCGCCGAGGTAACACGTCTCGGCGCCACAAATCTTGGCTCCGAGGTGCCTGGCCGTGCACAGCAGGACATCCTAGGTGGCGTTGACGTGGCCGGTACCTCGGCGCCATGTATTCTGGCGCCGAGCATGGATTAACCGCGTGTGGCTGTAGCTCTCTCTCGCGCGCTCTGTCTCTCCCTCTCACCGCCGCCGCTAGCCAGCCCCGCTGTCGCCCGCGCCTCCTCCGCTTGGCGCCCTCTCCACCACACAGAGAGCCGCCGCCATTGCCCCCAGCAGCACGGCCGCCTCCCTCGCTCCCCATCCACTCCTCACCGCCCTCGTCGCCCCAGGCTTCCCTCTGGCCTTGCAAGGAGGGTGACCCTGCTTCTCCTCGGCGTCCCGTCGGTTGGCGGTGGCATGGCCGGCGGCTCAGTCTGGCGCGCCCAGCAAACCCTCCTCCCGGCTCCCTCGGCTCCCAGTGACGCCACCGGCCCCCACCGGCTCCCTCGGCTCTCAGGTTTTTTTTCTTTAGTTTTTTTAATTGAGTTAGTTTAGATAATGTAGTTATTTGTTTTATATAGTTATGTAGTTTGGTAAAGCTTTTTTAGTTATTTAGTGATTTAGTGATGTAATTTAGTTAGCTAATTTAGGTAGATATTTATTTAGCTAATTTAGATAGATAGTTAGATAGTTAGGTAATTTAGTTATATAGGTAGTACTTGTAGTAGATGTAGTTAGATAGATAGGGGGTTTAGATTAGATACTTATTTATTTAGGTAGAGAGTCGGAAACTTTTATATGTATGTAATTTAGTTATACCCATATTAGTTAAACCCGTAATAACTTTGGTGTTGTGCATACCAACTAGATGGACAACGTAGTCACCCTGTATCATGGAGGAAGTGTGGAGGAAGATGAGTTTGGGAATGTCAGTTTTGTTGGAATGCAAAGGGTGCCAGTGATATTCGATGATCAGACATTGTTTTCTGAGTTGTTTGGTAGGGCTCGTGATGAGCTTAAATGCAATTCAAATAAAGACGCCATCTTAGTTGAGGGGATACTTCACCATGGCAGGCCAGAGACAATTTTGAGGCGGTTAGTCCCAATTGCATCAGAGGCTCAATGGGACAAATATGTCAAAACTGTCATGAAGAATGAGTTTCAATGTTTGGATTTGGTTGTGCGGAAGTTGTCCAATGATCCCACCCCTCATGGGTATTCACCCCCTAATGTTCATTCATCCCCTCATGGGTTGTCGCTAGCACTAGAGAATTCGTCACCCTCTGAGCCTCTGTTACCCAACCGTGAGGTGGATGTGGAAGATGTGGTTGTGGTGCCTGATGCTCAATCCGCCCCAAATGAGGTTGGTGTATGTCCTGGTGTCCGTGCAGAATGTGGGACTGATGATGTTGTTGGTGCCCCTCAGGAGATCCCTTTGACCTAGAATCATCCTAGTAAGTGATTTAATAACACTTTGACTTTCCTTATTCTTTGTTCATTCTATTTCTTTGTCTCAGTGCTATCCATATTTGTGCTTTAAATATAGGAGACAATTCTGATCACGATGGTTGTGCTCCTGTTCCTCCATCAACCAACGTGGACCCAGGGTTTATGGCCTCTAACAGTGTAGATGTTGATATTGCGGATGATGAGGAGCCTTATGGCACAACAAAGGCCGTTGATTCTGATGATGACCGCCCAGTTGCAGCTTTGAGCGAACAAGAAATGAAGCTCATCAGACGCTTGTGTCCTGATCATGATCCACTGATTCATGAATTCAGCGACCTTAGTCATTCTCAACATGCTTATGGAGAAGGAAGAGATGACGAGCTGCTAGAGGCTCCTGAGGCCGATGACAGCGTGGAAATTCAGAAGGACATGTCTTCAAGGACTTGCCCACCTTAAGAAGGTGGCTACATGAATATTCTATGAGACGTAAGAGACCATTCAAGGTGAGGCACTCCTATGTGGAGCGCCGTTACACGGTGGTGTGCGAGATGGCAGATTGCAATTGGAGGGTCTGTGCTCGCAAACAGAAGGCCACAGGAAAATTCAAGATCACCAAAATTGTAGATCCACACACTTGTGCCCAGACAAACCTAAAATAGAAGCATATACAGTTGACCTCTACCTTCATTGCCAGAAAGTTATACACAACTTTGAAGGGTTAGCCCAACTTGAAGGTCATGACAATTATGGAGATGACTAAGGACTATGCACAAGATGGTCATGGACCAGGTTTCCGGTAGAACAAGGCGAGGGAGAGCAACCCCTTTCTTACTGACCCCGAGCAGAACCAATCTAGCAAATGTGGTAGACTTGGGCATAATTCACGTACATGCCATTGGCCGCTTAGTCAGGTGAAAATAATTAATGTTTCACATGCATGCTTACTAATACCAAAAGGTTATTTATTTATTCATATAAAACTAATCTATACTTTCTCATTACATTTTGTAGGATGGAGCCGTTCCACCTGCTGGAGCCATACTACGAGGAGAACCACCGAGGACGACTTACCACGGAGGGGGAGGTAACGACTTTACTTCTGCTTGTTATTTTTCCTCTGCACATGTACTTGTGTTCACGAATTAATCTAATAATTTCTATTCTTTGCGGGAACTGTGGGTTCACTAGGTGGGTCGATCCTCGACCTATTTATCCGCATGCGGAGTACATCTACTATCTGCAGGACTGTATCTTCGATCTAGAAAGAAAAGTTAGCAGCGGTTACATGGACGACGAATAGGATGACAACAATAATGGTGCCAGTTCACAGGAGGTACTCTGCAATGATCCATATTGCACCTGCCCTAATCACAGGAACAAGGGTCCTCCGCCGCCACCCCCGCCGCCACCACCAACAACAATGGGAGGATACTGTGGAGAAGGTGCAACACAATTTGCTATGTGGCCACACTACTAGGGCAAACCAATCTTTTTAACGGGCCACATGCATGTGTTTGTTTTTTTGGTTTAATCACCTAAGGCATGTTAGGGTTAGTCGAAGAAACTATGTACCCTTGTTTGGCACATGTTCTCACATGCCATTTCATGTGCTTATTGTTTGCTTCAATTAACTAAGGCATGTTAGGTTTAGTCCAAGACCTCCGTATCCTACTTTGGTACATGTTATCACATGCCATTTCATGCGTTGTGTGTGTTGAATTAGGTAATCCACTACTTCGTTACGTTTTATTTGCACTACGTGAGCTCGTTTCACTACCTATGCAATATTAAACTCAATATTAAGACAACAAATAATAAACCAACAACACTATGAAAGGTCCAATAATAGAGCATATTAATCAACATAACAACATTTGAAGTACATGACGACAAACTAAATAACGCAGAACATGTCCTAGGTACATCCATACTTAAAGTGCATTACATGAAAACACAATGCAAAGTCCAAGATTAGACAACATTGTTCATGAATAAACCATACAACTAGCAAGTCATGAAGACTACTGAGTGCAATGAGGCCACTTTCTCTTCCTCTGGGCATCGAGATTCTCCTCCATCGCTGCCTTCGCTCGGAGCGCACGCTCAAGCTTCCTCTCTGTACGAAGCAACACACCTCCTTTCCTCCTCTTCCTTGTGCTCCTTTTCTAGAGCCTTCTCTCTGCGTCTCTTCTCCATCATCTCCTTGTACTCTGCCTCCCATTGTAATAGTTT